AGGGCATGGTGGCTCATGCCTTTAATCCCCAGAACCTGGGAGGCAAAGGAGGGAACATCTCTGAGTTCAAGGCCAACCTGATCTACAGAAAGAGTTCCAGAAAAACCAGGACTACACAGAGATTTAATTACATGACTAGACAGACAGACAGGTGGATGAATGGAGAGAATGGATGGATGGATGGACGGGCAGACACACAGACGGATGGATAGATGGACAGACGGATGATACTGTGAAGGGTCTTTAAGATGGGAGTCCTCCCCTTTGAAAATAATACTGTGACCTGATCGGTTCTAAACGGTAGAGGAAAAATTGGTTAGAAGCAGCAAGCACTCGTGTAATTCGCCAAACAGATGGTTAGTATTAAGTCCACTTTTTTCATATCTTGGAAGGGCTGCCTCCCACATGTCTGCAAGAAAAGCAATGTTCCGCCTCCATCTCTTGGATGTACATCCTGCCTGCGATCCAACACCACCCCTAGCTCACTGGAAACCCCATGGAATTCTGGAGACCAAGGGTCCACGTGGCCGCGCAACCTTGCATGAACGTTCTAACTGCTTGCTTCCTGTCACTTGGAAAAGTTCCTTCTGTCTGTTCAGCAGGGCCGGGATGAGGGGGAGTAGGGGGCAGCCTCCAGCGGGGTGCGAAGTTTTAAAAGGTGAGGTGCAAACATCTCAGCAACACAGACAAATAACAGCTAAATGAAAGATTTGTTTTTTTGTAGTGTCGTTTTTTTTATGTCAATTTTTTTTTAACTCGGGGAAAGTAATCAGAGGTGAAATATTAACATTCCGGTGGTTTGTTTTTGCTTTATTTTACTTTATTTTTTTGAGACAAGGTCTCTTGTATCCCAAACTAGTCTTGGACAGAGTGCTGAACTTTTAGGCGTTTAATACCACGTTGCTGAGGTTCCAACCCAGGGCCTCTCGCATGTCAGACAGGCACCATACTAACTAAAACTCCCAGGAGAGGGTGGACAGTAAGATGAGGCAGGGGAGGTACCGTTTACCAAGGGCACTATCTGTCCTGTTTCTGGGGAAGGGTTTGGCATTGCACTCGCTGTGGGCTCTCTGCGTTGCTTTTAGTTTCCTGTGGTGGGGCGCATGCGTGCGTGCCTGTCTGCAGGCAGGAGTGGAGGCCAGCGTTTGTTGTCGGAACGGCTTCTCCCATTGATTCTTAATTTTTGAGAGAGGGTCTCATAGCAAACTCAGCAAAAACGGTCTCTTGCCAGGGAGCCTCTGGGTCTGCCAATCTCCGCGCCTGCCTGCTCGCTCCCATTTCTGGGGTTCCACTCGTGCGCCGACCTTGTGAGTGGGTGCCAAGACTCCCGACTCAAGCCCCCAGGCTTGCACGGCGCGTTCCCTTTATCCCCTCTAGTCCTGTGCTGTTTCCACCTTCTTTAAAATGCTGCATTTGTGGCATAGGCCTGCAACCCCAACTGCTCATGAGGCTGGGACAGGAAGGTTGCGAGCTCCAGAGTTCGCGTGGGGATGACAAGGTGGATCAGTGGACGCTGAGGTCTGCTGCCAAGCCAGCTGCCTGAGTAGAAGAAAATCAGCTTCCGAAAGTTGACCTGTAACCTAATGTGCTCTGTGGCACTTGTACACACACGCACACACGCGCGCACACACACACACACTCAATCACCACCACCACTAACAATAACAATAAATTAAGCTGGGCGTTGGTGGTGCAGCCTGTAATCCCAGCTCTCGGGAGGCAGAGGCAGACGGATCTCTGTGAGTTCGAGGCCAGCCTGGTCTACAGAGCAAGTTCCAGGTCAGGCTCCAAAGTTACACAGAGAAACCCTGTCTTGAGAAACAAAAAATAACAACAGCAATAATAAATTAAATTAAAAAGACTTGGCTACAGAGTAAATTCAAGGCCAGCCTGGGCATCTACGTAAGATCCTATCTCAGAACAAAAGCAAGGCCGGGCCTGAGGTGTGGCTCCAAGGCAAAGCACGTGTCTGTCGTGCACAAGAATCCAGGCTTCGCCCTCAGTACCACAGCTTAACCTTCAGGAAAAATATTTCGCAAGAACTGCAAGTGTCACAGGCATTAGACTCGCTTGCCTGCCTATCCTGCGTGAGTGCCTGGGTTCCAGCCCTACCCCTGGAGAAAGGTTTTTGAAAAGAAAAGGCAAAATTACACGAAAATATAATAGTGAGGTTTCTTGGGGCCGGGGGACAGCAAAAGCTACGCTTGGCTGACCTAGTCACTCATGTGCACTGCTCTAAGTCGTCATAACCAGCAACCTAGTCCTCGCAGCCAATGGATGAGGCTTGAACAGCCGACTGCAAACCTCCTTTAACCACATCCCTAGCTTCCCCTCCCCGTGAGAACTCATCACCCCCTCAAGGACAGGATAAAATCGCCAGCTAATTCTCTTCCCTTGTTTTTATCTGAAGCCTGTCATCCCTGCCTCCAGCCACCCCCTGCCACACACACATCTGGACATTTACAGATGCTGTATGTTCCAGTTGTCCTCCATGCTGCCCCAACGGCCGGAGTTGTCATATCCGACTCCCGTCTGTCTTCTCACCTCCTTCCCGACCTCTGCCCAGAGGTTTCCAAGAATGCAGGCTGATTGCACTGCTGGGAGGGTGAGCAGCTGCCCAGCATTTGGGATACCAGACTTTCCCATAACAGCATCGGTCTCTAGCCAGTACTCCCCCACGCCCGCTATGCTATGTGCACCAGACTGCCTCCAACAATTTCCCAACCGTCTCGTTTCGGTTTGCCAAGGCGAAGGTGCTCGTGCGAGATGCATGTGCGCGGTGCGTACGTGTGTCTGCACGCTGGTGTGCGGGTCAGCGTTCACGGGCGTGAGTGCTGGTGCCATGAGTGCGGCACACGTGTGGAGATCCGAGGACACACCGAGGTGTCGGTCTTCACCGTCCATCCTGTCTGAGAGAGGATATCTTTGCACCGCACAAGCAGGACAAGCTTGCCGACCACTGATCCAGGCATTCGCCAGTCTCTGTCTCCCACGTCACGGTGGGAGTGCTGGGATTGTAGACATGCATCACCTTGCAAGGCAAATACTTTACCCACTGGGTACCCATCCTCAGCCTATTAGGTACTAAAATGCTTCCAACAACCCCACGATGCTTCCTAATTTTTCTTTAATTTTTTTTGAAAATGAGAACGCGTTTCTTGCACAAATGCATTCTTTGTACAAACTCGTTGTATAAATGGCTTCTACGATGACATTCTCATCATGTGCCTTGACTACATTGATCTCCCTCTACCGTCTCATGACCCTTTTCCCTTTCCCTTTTCCGTCTAGTCTCCTTCCTCTTCCTTTACAGCAGGGCGCTTCAAGAGTTCAGGGTCACCCTCAGCTACACAGTGAGTTCAAGGTCAGGCTGAGTGAGCTACATCCTCTGGCTTCCTCGTTGTGAATGGGCATGCGCACAAATGCACCCGGCACACACGCATACACAGTTTATTTAGAACATTGTTAACTTTTAAAAAATTTATCATATAGCTAATTCATCTCTCATCTTCCCTTTCCTCCCTCCAACCTCTCCCATGAAGCACCCCCTTTTCTCTCTCAAATCCGTGGCCTCTTTTTCTTTAATCGCTCTTACATATATGGGTATATGTATTCCTAGATACATAGATACAACCTGCTCAGTCTATGCAAAGTGACCTGTACGTATATTGTCTCAGGGATGACCACTTGCTATGGATGTACAACTGGGGTGCCCTGCCTTGGGAAAGGCTGTTTACCCTGCTCTCAGCATCCCCCCACCTCCACCCCGTTGGGCGTCATGCTTTGTCTGGATTTGAGGCCCAAAAGGGCAGGGATATGAAGATTAGCACAGGTGAGCTATTTAAGGAAAAGAAAAGTATTCTCTTGCTCTGTTTCTTTGGAAGCCTGCCACGCTTCTGACCCCCCCCCCCCAGCTTGTGTGTAAGTTCTTTCTCGGGTAAATAAGTCTATTATATTCCATATTGCATTGACCTCCCTTGTCAGCTGGTACCAGGAGTGGCCGGAAGCCCACTCACCTTCCCTGTTAGCATATCCATTGGTGCCGTCATTTCCGGGGTCTTGTTTAGGTAGCCACGTTGGTGAGATTTCTCGGGTGTAGCTTCTCTGACACTTCTAGGAGACAAACTCTCACAACAAACTTCTTGCTCCTCTCGAACAGGGTCTTTCCTTCCCCCCTCTTCCACTAGAATCCCTGAACTTCAGTTGCAGGAATTTGTTTTAGGATTTACTTATTATGTATACAGTGTTCTGTATGACTACAGGCCAGAAGAGGGGATCAAATCTCATTACAGATGGTTATGAGGCACCATGTGGTTGCTGGGAATTGAACTCAGGACCTCTGGAAAAGCAGCCAGTGCTCTTAACCTCTGAGCCATCTCTCCAGCCCCACAGTTGCAGGAATTGATACACACAATTTTTAAAAGCTAATAGTCCCCCTTCTACCTTGGTGTGTGTGTGTGTGTGTGTGTGTGTGTGTGTGTGTGAATGAGTGAGTGAGAGAGAGAGAGAGAGAGAGCATGCACGCCTGCGTGATACATATCTACTGGGTTCCACATATGAGATAAAATATGCAATACTTGTCTTTGTGAGTCGGGCTTAATTTTTTTAAGCCATATGACAACCTCTAATTCTATCCATTTACTTTCCTCTTGAGAAAGATTACTTTATTTTGATTTCATATGAACCTCCAATTCTAACCATTTACTCCCCTTTTAAGAGAGGTTGATTTATTTTAATTTTATGCGCATTAATGTTTTGTCTGCATCGCATTCCTGGGTACCGCGTGCATGCCTGGTGCCAGCGGTCAGAGGAGGGTGCTGGACCCCCTGGAACTGGAGTGACAGACAGTTGCGAGCCACCACGTGGGTGCTGGGAGCCAAACCAAGGCCCCTCGCAAGAGCAACAGTGATCTTAGCCGCTGAGCCAGCCGCCTCTCCAGCCCCAACCCACCCATTTTATTGCAAATAACGTAATTTCCCTTCTCTTTACTTTTACGACAGAAGAGAGCTTCAATCGGATCTACAGCAGGTGATGCCATCTGGTCCAGGGTCTCTCTTGTCTTGCATTGTGGACCTTTCATCACTGGAGAATTCTTTGCCTTGTGAGTGAGTGTATGGGATTTGTGGGAGGAAATGTGCAGCCTACCTCTACATACCAGTGAAGTCTTTATTACATTTTTATAGTGTGTGTGTGTGTGTGTGTTCTCACATGAGTATAAGTCACAGGGCAACCTGCAGGAGTTGGGTCTGAGGTACAGAACTCAAGTCTTGGGAATGAGCCCCTTTACCCACCCAGCCACCCCTTTACCTCACAAGTTCCTCTCGTGTGGCACCTAACCCTTGTCCCCAGACTTGGCCAGTTGTCTCCACTCCTCTTGGAGATCAAGTTCCAGCCGGCACTGGCTCCTGATGCTCTGCTTTGATTTTACCTCTTCTGACTTTCGCCTTCCTCAGGGGACCACACTGGCTTCCCACGAGCACGTGTAGCGTCAAAACTGATGTCATTTAGAGTTTTAGATTAAACAGATCCAAAACAGTAAAACAGCACACCAAAAAAGAAAAACCCCAATTGTTGAGGCTGGAAAGTTTCAAACACTTTTGAAACCTTTCCAGAGGACCCAAGTTCAGTTCCCGGTACCCACGTGGTGGCTCACAACCATCTGGGACCCGGGGCCCTCTTCTAACCTCTGCGGGCCCCAGGTACACACACTCTGCAGAGATATACACACAGGCTCAACACTCGTGCAGATAAAATAAAATCTTCAAAAAGCACACGCATAAGAAGAATTGCTGGGACTGGGAATGGGGACCGGTCGGTAGAGTGCCTGTCTAGCTGCAAGCCCACACATTGTATACTGTCACCTCGAGTCCTGGGTCCCACCCTCAGCACCACAGAGAACTAGGCACGGTGGGACAGGAGCACTTGGGTAGGAGAGACAGGGGGCAGGGAGTTCCAGAACACTCTGGAAGATAAGAGACTTTGTTATCTTGAGAGAGAGAGAGAGGGAAGTAGGGAGGGAGGAAGGAAGAAAGGAAGGAAGGAAGGGAATTCTTATTTTAAAGTCTATTTAAAAGAAAAGGGCAGGACTGGAGAGATGGGCTCGGCAGGTCTGAGAATCTATGGCCCTTGGAGAGGACTCCGGTTTAATACCCAGTATCTACAACCAGGAGGCTCACAATTGCCTGTAACTCCAGTTCCAGGGGATCTGACTCCTTTAGCTTCCACAGGCACTGCCCTCGTGAACACACACACACACACACACGCACACACACACACACACACACACTCACTTAAAAATAAAATATTTAAAAGAATCAGAAAAAGAGGGAGGACCAACAGAATGACCCAGCAATTAAAAGCGCTTGCGTGCACACTAACAACCCAACTGAATTCCAAGCACCCTCGTGAAAAGGCTAAATGTGGTAGCTTGTTTGTCTAGTCCCAGAATTCCTACATCAGCATGGAAGACAGAGATGGGGAGAGACACCCAAAGGCGCTGTCCACTGCACAGGGAAGCCACACAAACGGCAGGAGCGATCTTATCTTTGCACAGTGGGAACAGACTCCTGGCTCCTGAAAGTTGGCCTCTGACCTCCCCTCCTTCAGTGTGGGCATAATACTTGCTCATCCCCACCAAACGAAATATAAATCTTACAAGAAAGGAAAGGAGAAAGAAAAAGCAAGTCAGATGTTTGCTTGATCTCAAACACACCCGGAGCTTCAAAGGCTCGTCCGTCTGAGGAGCGTATGAAATATCGATACGCTTATCATCTCTCTGGCCTTGCTATCTGTGGCCGCCACCCGCTCCGAGCAGACTTCACAGGCATTCCCCGACATGGGGCTGTTTCAGTGTAAAGGGACCATCTTTGAACTTCGGGGGGAAGGAAACAAACATTTAAGGATTTATCATCAATGTCCTTGGGGCATGTACCCTCAGAAGGAGCCTTTCACCCCAAATCCACCAGATAAGAGTTCTTTATTCTATCTGCAGCCCGTATGGAATGTGCCTCTCTTCCTGTTTCCTTGAGTAACCGAGTTATTATTTTGAACCGCATATTGATAAACCATTCGCATTCCAGGCAAGACGGCTTACGAACCTCAGTCTGGAGGAAGGAAAGTGTGTGTGTGCGTGTGTGTGCGTGCGTGTGGGGGGGTGGGGTACCGTCTTTGTCCCCATTCCTCTTCCACCAGCTACCCGACAGTGTCTTCTGACCTCAAACAGCTCCCAGTCAGGGCCCAGAAGCCACCTAGCAGAGAACACAACAAGAGACAGGGAAGGAGTCCAGGTCCCCTCGCTAATCAGCTCAGAGTTCCATAGCAAAATAGCAGAGTGGGTGACTTGAGCAACAGAAACTGTTTTTTTCTTTTCTTTTCTTTTCTCTCTTTTTCACCATTCTGGAGGCTGAGAGTCAATGCTAGAGGTGACTGCAGTCCGCTGGTTCCTGGTGAGGGCCTTCTTCCAGGTTCGCAGTTGTTCTCACATGGTGGAAGGAGATGAAGGATGGGAGGAAGACAAGGAATGAGGGAAGGAAGGGTATGCAGAAAAGAAACCAAGAATTGATGTTGGGGAGAGCAGCTGGAGAGGCGGCTCAGTGGTTATGAGCACTGGCTGCTCTTGCAGAGGACCTGGGTTCAAATCCCAGCACCCTCATTAGGGGATTCAAACACCTCTTCTGTACTCTAAGGGTACCTCGCGCGCGTGTGCGAGCGCACACACACACACACACACACAAAACTAAAAGCAAAATACATCTCCTTTTAAAAGCACTGACATGGGGTTGGAGAGATAGCTCAGTCATTAAAGGCTAGGCTCACAACCAAAAATATAAAAAGTACTGACCTGTAACTTTTCCTGCTCTTTGAGGGAAAAGTCCCAATGGGCCCACCCTGTGCTCCCCTTAAATTTCAGTTGCCCCCTGAAAAGAGTCCACTTTGGAGTCGAACCCTCCATATGCAAAGTTTGAGGATGATGGCACGGAACCTTCCTCAAACTTTCTGCCGTGGGAGACGTTAGCGTACGTCAGATACAGGGCCGGCTACCGCTACAGTCGCTGCCCTAACTCGCACACACTCACACTCCCCTTCTCACTCTGAAATCCACAGCTCTGTGTTACATGACGGCACACAGCCCGCAGAAGACCCAGGGAGAAGGCGCCGTCCCTTCACATATCTGAGGAGAGGAAGGGAGACCCCCCCAACAGCTGGGTGAACCGCTTGCCAACATGGGAAAGAAAGACTGACTGAAGAATCCCTCACTCTTGGTGACAGAGTGACTGGTGACTAAGGCCATCGGGGAGGAGCAGCTGGGAGAGTTGCTCTTGTAGGCCACAGGGACCTGTCATATATTTAAATATATATCCACACGTGGGCCTATGTGTTTCTATATGTACTTGTGTGCGTGCTTGTATATATGTATATGCCGATGTGCTTGTGTGTATATGTGTATGCATATAGGTGAGCTCACGTGTGTCTGCATGGATGTATATGTGTGTATATGTGTGTATGTGCTTATGTTTATATATGTGCACATGTGTGTGTATGTGTATGAGTTTGCATATGTTGTATATGTCTTTGTATGTGTGTATGTGTGTATATATGTATGTATATATTTGTATATGTGTCTGTGTATGTGTGAACGTGTATATGCATATATATGTATGCATGTATATATATGCGTGCAGATATATGATTGTAAATCTGGGTTTACATGTATATTTATACATGTATCTGCATACATTTATGTATCTGTACATGTTTTTATTCGTGTTTGGATCTATGTGTATATATGTGTGTGTGTATATGTGTATGTGTTTACATGTGTATGTATGTATGTGTATGCTTGTGGGCTTCTGCATGCGTGTATATGTATGTGTGTATATGTACATGTGTGTTTATGTGTGTTGTGTCACACTATTCCTCGGGAGATGTGACAGATGTCTGCTCACCCAAGGTAGGGGACCAGGGAGAGACCAAAGTAGGGATATCCCCCAAGTCGCATTTGGTGAACCAGTGAGTTCTACCGGGGTTTCACGCAGGAGTCTGAGTGAGAGGTTATTACAGGAGCAGAAATGCCGAGACAGCTGCATCATCACCAGAGCCCACCCCAGGCTACCGACAGCTCACTAAAGCTGGGAGCCTGGAGCACGCTGCACAGCCTGCGGGCAGCTCCTCGGGTTGGAGAGTGTCCTTTCCAGGTAGTTCTGCTAGTCTCTTCTTCCTCCAGGCAGCTCAGCTGGCCTGAGAGTGTCTGTCTGTCAGCAGTCCTCGCCGCTCACACATGCTCGGGGAGGGAGGGCTCTAGTGAGTCTGGTTATCTTCAGTGACTTCTTGTAGTCCCCTGCTTCCCGCAGGGTAGTGTTAACGTTTTCCTTTCCCCCAAGATCATTCTGTGTCTTGAGGTGATCACCGCCCCCACCCCAACATGGAAGCTTTTAACCTTGGAGAAAACACCTACACAATACCGTGTGTGTGTGTGTGTGTGTGTGTGTGTGTGTGTGTGTGTGTGTGTGAGAGAGAGAGAGAGAGAGAGAGAGAGAGAGAGAGAGAGAGAGAGAGAGAGAGAGAGAGAGAGAGAGAAGGGCAAACAGTCCTGGCAGAACAGGGGCAGGCAGGGAGGGTAACCAGAGAGTGACCAGAAGCCAGGTGCAATGACATATGTATTAAAGTGCTGTAATGAAATCCTGAAATCCATTCTTTTGTGCAGTAACTTAAACATAATAATAAAAAACGAAGGCCCCACCCAGGAGCCCTTCTTGATATCAGAATCTGGTGGAACTTGGATTTTTGTGTTGATTTACTTTTGCTGTGTCTCGGTAAAAACAAAGCAACAAGAAAATCAAAAGAGAAAAAAAACCTTGTAATTGTAGCTGAAATCTCAGGAATCTCTCTGGCACATCAACTAGTCTCTGTCTCTGACTTCAGGGAAACCTATGCCTGTGTCCTAAACCCACCATGATGGGTGGGATCATTTGCGGCATGGGGGGCGGGAAGCTGGCAGGCATCCGGGCTGTGTCAGGCAATCCTCTCCCTCCCCCTAGCCCCCCCCCCGCCAAAGCAGCTTCTCAGATTTGCTCCATGAAGGTGGGAGCCGCCGCTTTCACG